CAAAACACAGAACCGTATGGGCTGCTATGAAGAACCATCCAGCTCCATCCCAGCCAGACCCAGTACACTTTAACGTATCTTCTCAACAGATGTGACGGCAATGCCAAAAAGCAAGGAGAATTCAAGGGCAGAATTTTCTTATAGGACCTTCGTGTCTTGAAAAATCAAATCCGCTGCCCTGCTACTTCATGATGTATTTAATCGGTAGTATTTCTGAATTTCACAACTGCATTCTTATCCCAATTTTTAAACAGCATTCAGAACACATCTCCTCAGTATTTCTTCGGTGATAAACGGCAAGTTCTCCACGATGTACCATGGATACAACATACAACTTTCAGTGGTGAAAACTAGACATAATGATTCCAGATCATAATGTGATATTTAAGAAGTCCACAAACAGAAATTCAAGTTCAGATCATAAGCTTTTACTGACAATTGAGCATTGGCAGAAAGTGCAGACAAGCCATCCAACAATTTAAAGTGAATGACCAAAAGACTGACTTTGGGATGAAAGTGCCACACAAAACTGCAATTCATTAACTGAGCAAGGACTTCAGAGAACAAGGATTTAGATAATAAATATAGATTGACAACTTCATGCCACCAATTTAAAAGCAGAGAAGCATGCACGCCGTTTTAAGAAATTTCATATTTGAACTGAGTTAACTAGAAAACGGTACTACACCTATATTTCCACAGCCTCAAAAAATTCCAAATACCATTAAAACTTCACTAAAAAAAAAAACCAAACAAACCTTGCAAACATTGTAGGAAACTAAGCTTGCACTAGACTAGTATTTTTACCACACGGTTGAGAGATTACATAGTCTGCATGCAGTGAGCATGTAAGCTGGAAAGAACACCCATGGAAATACCCCAACTATAAAACTGGGCCAATATGAGAGCAGATCAGAGGACGATTTCTTACTCTAATCTTCAAAATAAGCCTTAACAGTCGAAGGAAGCTGTTGCTAATGACAGTTTTCACACCGCTGCAGGAAGATGCGAGCGAGCTGTGCCGCTGGGCCCGCTGCGCGGCCGGCTTGAGCACGGGGCCGCTTCCGAGCGCCGCGGGCTGGAGAAGGCAG